TCCGCGAAGTGGAGAGATATTTAAATTTTAGTTTCGAAAACGACTTTTGAGGCAGAACGCTCCGTGACGTGAAGCGATTTTTCCCAGTTCTGGGGACCAGCTCTGCGACGTGGCACCACTATCCAGATTCGTCCGACAAAAAATCTTCTTCGTTTTCCAGCCCCAACTCACTCAAATTCGGTTCTTTTTCCCCAAATTCTTTTTAGATACAGATACCCAGCAACTGTACCTAGGAACCTAACTCAACTCACTAAATAACTGAACGTGATGATCTTAGAAACTCCTCAATTTCAGCCCAACTCAAGAACAATATCAATTTCAAGAAAAAAAAAATGAAAAACAAAAAGGTCGTTTTATTCAAAACCCCAATTGTGGTATCCCTTCTCTCCCACATTTCCCAATATATTCTACAGATTCGGATTTGGATCACGCTGAAATAACATGTTTGGCGCATGGGTGAATGAACCCAACGCTATGAGAGACTCACATACCTTATAGGATCAAATCCTTGAAGAAATCTACAATCAATTCCTTACGAAGACGATGAATATTGCTTTTTCCTCTTCTCTTTTCTCTTACGTTCCTTCTCCAAAAACCCTAACTCTATTTTTCAAAAGCGTAAACTGAATCCGATCAGTTTAGACCCTAAAAATATTACCAAATACGAATTAATTAAATTGGGTAAGGAAAAGACCAAACTACCCTTAAAAATTCGGTTTTTGACTTTCCTTATTCCAACAACCTAACTTCCAAAGGGAATAACTTACTCATACAAACTTGGAATCGTGCAAACTTGGTGGCGTTGGAAAGATCGTTCCAAGAGCTTTCCAACCATATCTGGAGACTATTTCCAGTTCTAAGCTTCTTCTTAGCTATTTCAAATTGCAAGATGTTACAATAGGACTCACCATTGAGCCTTAAAAAAAATCTCACCACTTTGTGATTAACATGTACAAATAAATATAGAACAAAATTGTCACTTTGTGTTTAACATGCATAATAATTAAATACAGAACAAAAAAAAAACACAATAAAAATATCATCAACAAAGTATGTACTAATATCTTAAATTTGTCAAAAACAGAGAGTTACATATAACATTATATTATATAATGTTTGGTGCATAATTATTAAGGTAGTGAATTACCGTTATAAATCAAAGAATCAATTGCACACTAAAATAATAATAATTCCAATTACACTAAAATAAAATTGCTCACTATCACCATCTTTTTTTTCAATTTTCATGTGAACCCAAAATATTTAACACACAAAACAAAATAAATTAAAAGCTTATGTAATAACCAAAACAGTGAGCATAATCATAAATAAAATATAAAATAAGTTTCACATACAAAAGAAAGTATATATAGTCATAGGTGAAAAAAATGCACAGTAACAATAATATTAATCATTCACCTTGTTCACAAGTAAAATATAAAATAGATTCCACAATAATTTACCTTGTTCCCGAGAGAAAAATAAACACAAATATTTTACCTTCTTTTGTTTACTTTGCTTCAATCCTGCAAGTGGTAGAACATTCGTGCTGATAACGTGTTGTAAAACTAAATTAAAATAAGACAAGAAACATAGAAGATGAAAACAATAGAAATATAGAGACAAGATATGAGAGTATTTCTTATTCTTCAAGTCTTCAAGTGTGTCCAATATGAACCCTTATGCCTCTATTTATTGTGTAAATAGAGGCATACAAAATGTTAGTCATAAACATGACATTAACATGAATATAATAGAGGACATCATAAATATTGCATCATTTTAAATAATAATGTGTCCACGTGGGCACATATATACCTTTAAAATACACTATTAAATAGTGCAGGGGGTAAAAGATCCTCCATAAAGTTTGGTATCGTAACAATAATTTCGGCCAAAGTTAAAATATTTTCAGACCCTTATCCATTTAAGTTACCATCAATCTTCATAATTTTATAGATCATTTATTAAAAAATCTAAAGGTCAACAAAGCTAACTAAGAGATTTGACATATGATTTAATAGAAATTGTCGAGGGAGCCCCAAACATTAATTATCACTTTGACTTCTTCTTCTTCTTTCTAATTTAAATGAAAGGGACATTTTTATTTAAGTTTAAGTCAATAAAAAGGGGTTTATTTATTTATTTTTATATTTAGAGCTTTGAAAATTCTAGATAGTAAGGTATCGTTTAATAAAATGCATTAGTAAAAATAACATATGTATTATTTATGTTTTCAAGTGTGTTACATTGGAAATTCAAAAAAAGAAAAATAGCACTTTAAAAATTTATATAATTAAATTGTATGTGTATATAAAAGTTTAAAACTAATAGTATTATATATTTTGGACCTATAATTTTTAAAATTTATCGATTCGGTGTTAAGAGCTAAAAGTTTAAATCAATCAAATTTATATATTAAATGCATCTTTTGGTAACAGTGCACCCATTCTTCCGAAATCCTGGATACGCATCTGCGAGGAGTCTCGCCATTTAAAACCTGCATATAATCAACGAGATGGATCTCAAATACTTCAAAAGCAAGAGTAAAAAGAAGAGAAACAAAGACTGTTTTTAACTCTCTATTATAGTCAGGGACAGATCTATTCAGGCGGGTGGGGGTGCCATGCCACCCACCAGCTTTGACGAAAACTTTATGTATATAGGTATATATATACACAATCTATATATAAATAATAAACCCGCTACCCACAGTACCAAATTACTCTGTGGTGCTCGTGGTAAAAGGCCAAATGTTTGAGCCTTAGGTCGCGGGATCGAACCCGTTTGACACATTTTTATTTTTTTCCTTTTTAAAACTGCTGGCACATACAAGGCTCCTTTCATAAATCATAATAGCTTTTTCGACCTTTTTCTTTTTATTTTCTTCTTTTTTAGCATTGTTTCAAATTATTTGCTACTTTTTTTATCTTTAAATAATTTTATAAGTATGAAATTTAGCCTAATTCATCCTACTCCTAACATTAGATATTAATTTTCTATCCTATATTAATTATTTACATTTTACTAAAAAATTTTATTAAAAAATATTTGTCAATTAACAAAATTAAACAACTAATTTTTTTTTATTTTCATTATCCTAAACAATTAATTTTTCTTGAAAGTGTAAACAAAATTTGTAAAAAATTACAAAAATGTTTATCTTAAAGATGAAAATACTAAACTATCATTTTATTTATAATTTCTTAAAGAAGTAAAAGAAAAATTAATAACTAATAGAAAGAGGTATGAATTGTTTTTTTTTTCTCTTCTCAATAATTTCGTAAACACTTAGATGCATCAAATATTCTCCAACAAGAAAATATAACAGAAAGATCATCAGTAATTTTAACCAATAATTATATAAATTTTGGTACTATTTTCATGTAACCCAAAATAAAAATCATCCATAAGCTCCTACATATATACATACTCTCTCAATTTATATGATATTTTTTTATTTTTGAAATTCAAGCGACGTGAAATTTAATTAATATTTTAAAATATTTATTATTATTACATTAACATGATAAGAATTGCAACTTATGTTTGTTGATAAATATTACCTTCTCGCTAAGTTGTAATTCAACCAAAAACATTATTAGTTGCAATTCTTATCATGTTTATATAATTTTTAATAAAAAAGAACAAAAAAATACACCTTATAGCTTGGATTTCGAGAACAAAAAATAACCTATAAATTAATGGAGAGTGTAAAATGAAAAAAACAAAAATTGGTTAATTATATTTGTATTTTGTTGATTGACAAGTAATTTAATAACTATTTATGTTTATCCTAAAAATAATACAATTGATTTTGTATGAGGTTAAAAACAAACATTTTAATTTATCTTAGCTTAACTCTTTTTTAAATACGTAATTATTTGACTTTTAATCAAAATTAATATTAATATATTTATCTTTAATTGATTTGTGACAAATGAACATATGAACCAACATAAATTTTTCGTAAACAGCGTACAAGCACTTTTTTTTATACATGTTTATTCCTATTTTATTGATTGATTTGTCATTATAAATTCGAAAAGACGAGTAATTCGAATCAAACATAAAGTTAATTTAGGCGATGAGTCTATTTGGCACCCAGAGACTCTAAATCCTGGATCCACCTCTGATTATAGTACTAATAATAACATTTATTTATGGTACATCACGATTGCTATAAGATCATAACACAATTTATTTAAATAAAAGAAAGAGTGTATTGCACACACCATGATGAAAGTGTAATAAAAGAGAGATGTGTGTTTCTCAAAGTAGCAATGGTAACTTGGTATGAAACTCACACTTTCAATAGCTTAGGTATGAAACTCAAAAAAGGGATAATTTAAATGTGTTTTTTGACCTTATCTCTTTTATATATTGATACTCATCATAACACGTTATAATATGAGGCTCCAATTTTTTTAATTAGTTTTATTTTTGTTGTGTCACTATATCAAAATGATCTTTAGCGGTAATTAATTAACTGCAATTAACACTCTTTGTATATGTTTCTAAAGCTTTTAGCGACATTGGATCTAATTGCACTTAACTATTGCCGGTAAAGACTTTAGCAGTCCTTATTAATGTATCTATTTATTACCGCTAAAAGTTATTTTTGTTGAAATGCATAAGTATATGACCTCCTCTAAGTCTATTTAAGCACGGTTTCTCTTCACTATGAACTCCCCATCAACTGAAACTTTTTGAGTTAGAGTTATACTAAGTGAGACTCAAACTTGTTGATTCTTTTTATGAGAAATTAGTATTATCTGTTCCTTGATTTTTGTTCACTGTCTTTAAAATAGTTTATCATTTAATATTTCATATTACTTTGTCAATCATCAAAGCTTGCATGATTGTTTAATGTTGTTGGATCTTATAAAGAGAACAGAGTAATCTTAATTCCTCTGTAACTTGTAGGTCTCAAGCTATGGCCTCAAAGGTATCAATCATGTCAACATGGACGGTTAAAGGTGCTGGAAGGAGTCTGATTGAAGATAATTGAGTTGACACCATGGGACATTCTCGAGCTTCAAATTGAGTATGGTCAAGATGGAGTCCTCTGTTACATGCCTACAATTCAACAAGTAAGAGAAGTAACAAAAGCAACCAATACCACTTCCTTGATTGATCATCTTAGAGTTTCACTATCTCGAGTTTTGGATTTCTTCCCTCCATTCTGTGGCCGCCTTGGGGCGGTCACAACAACAGAGCAGAGTGGAGCCACTTCTTTCTTCATTAAGTGTAACGATGCTGGTGTTCAATTCAATCATGCCATAGCTGATGGTGTTACAGTTGACGACATCTTGGATCAATCAAAGTGCGTTCCACATGTGGTAGGTGATTTTTTCCCATTAAATGGAGTTCGAAATTTAGAGGCTACATCCAAACCATTTTTAAGTGTGCAAGTAACAGAGCTTGTTGATTGCATTTTCATTGGATGCACGGCTAATCATGCATTACTTGACGGATCATCTTTTTGGCATTTTTATAGTTCTTGGGCTGAGATATCTTCTGGTTTCTAATAATGTCATATCAAAAATCCCCTTTTTGAAACGTGATGAATTCCCTTTCAAAGTTGACAATTTCTCTAATCGCATTTCCATACCAAATGAAAGAATCAATAGCAATAGCAATAGCACACATGATCCACCAGTATTGCAAGAAAAGATATTTCATTTTACCAAAGAAAGTATAGCCAAACTAAAAGCAAAGGCTAATCTTGAAATGAAAACCACCAAAATATCTTCTCTTCAAGCTGTGTTGGCTCATGTTTGGCAATCCGTTATACGTTGTCGTAATCTGGATCACAACGAAGAGACTACTTTTGAGGTACCAATTGACATGAGGAAAAGATTGAATCCTCCTTTACCTGAAGGGTTCTTTGGAAATGCAATTTACCCTGCTACCATAACGGTGAAAACAGGGGAGCTACTGGAGCACGGGGGATTCGCATGGGCTGCTTTACAAATAAATGAGATGATTGCTTCTCATGATCATGAAAAGTTTAAGTGCATATACGAGAATTGGATGAAGGATCCAGAGGTAACAAAATTGGGTGATTTGCCAAGTAATTACTTTATGTTGCACAACTCTCCGCGATTCAATTTTAACGAGTATGATTTTGGTTGGGGAAAGCCAATTGCACAGAGAGGTGGGGTGTCAAACATGTTGGAGGGGAAAATTGATGTGTCACCTGGGCTAGAAGAAGGGAGTATTATTTTTGAGATTTGCCTTTCTCCAAACGCAATACAAGCATTGGAGGAACACAAAATGTTTTTTGGTGTGGAATGAACAATTAAATTATTAAGTAGTGTATTTCTTGTTAGATTATATTTATATGCATATACCTGTGTTCGTTTCAAAATCATGGCTCTCTGATTGCAATATACAAAGTACGTGTGTTCGTTTAAAAAATAAGTGTGTGATTGCAATATATAAAGTACGTGTGTTCGTTTCAAAATCATGGCTCTCTGATTTCTATTTATGAATTCATAAAATTTTGTCTACATTCATCTACTAATGATATACAACAAAATTATCATAAGATTTTTTTCTTTAAAAATCATGATGCGTAATCTGATTAATTCTTCTTTAAATTTTCTTATCATACATCTCAATTACTGAGGCATCTAAAATGAATTATTTCATGATAAGTTTCATGTCAGATGGTTTTTTTTATCAATAAATTAATTTATTTACTCGATATGGAAAAATTTGACAAATTAACTAATATAATGGATAAATCATCTTTAAGGATTCATTAGTTCAAAGACTAACAACCACAAAACTATTTTTTTCAATCATAGAACTTGGTCGAACCCAATTCTTAACTGCCTCAACCTTTAACTGATGTTAACCAGACCATAAATCAATCTTAGAGAAAATCAATGCACCTTGCAATTGGTCAAAAATGTCATCTATCCGAGGCAATTGATACTTGTTTTGAATGGTGACCCTATTCAACTGTCGGTAGTCTATACACATCCTCTCTTGCTAGTGATGATGTTACCACTTTTGTTGCTCTAGTTCGGACCACAGAGTGAAGGAGGAAAGATATCAATTTGTATTACACAAATACCAATTGGATTCAAGTTATAGCACGAAGGAGTAGAAAGAATTGAGTTTTTCCTAAAGTCCTATAGCCTCTAGAAGAAAAGTACGGACGTCATCGTACCGTTCCACAAGACTCTACTAGACTCGTTTTGGTACAATGAGATCAACGAACCTAGGGCTCTGATACCAATTTTGTCACGACTCAGACCGCCGTGATTGGCACCCACACAAACCCTTCGGTGGGAGAACCATTACTACAACCCATACAAACAAATTTTATGAAAACTAAGACATTTAAAGATAGGGAACCATGTTTAAATGACTATAAAAATGAAGTCCCCATAAACTCCAAGGTTTCTTTACAAACAACTAACCAAACTAATGCGGAAGAACAACCCCTAGAACCTGAAAGTCATTGGTTATCAATTTAGAGCAACATACAGTCTTCCAATATCAATCATTAGATATGAACGTAATCATCACAAGTAGATACACAACACAATTCAATGGTTCTCTCACGGAACTCAATTTAATGGTCCTCTCATGGAACCCACACCCAAACTGTTAGCATACCGAAACGTGATACCCTCACAATCACAACGTACATTCTCATAATCATACAATCAAGAGGCGATCCAAGGCATATAGTTATTTGTTCATACCTATTTACGATTAGTGTGATCAATAATGCAACGTTCACTCACATACATGCAATATAATGAAGCAAGTACAAACATATATCACACAACATGATATAAAAACCATCACCTACCTTGAACAAAGCTTTAATCCCTAAGAAACTTGATTCTACCCTTTCCAGATTCTTTCCGCTTGTTCTAGGTCTACAAACAACAATTTATACGCAAGGATCAATAATCAAAGGTTTAATTATTCGGATTATAACAAACCCAATAACCCTAGACCAAACCCAAGATCCTAATACCCAATTAGGGCATTTTCCCACCATAAATCACAGATCAAAACCCTCCCCCATCGATAATTACCCAAGAAACTAAGTTCTACGGATCGAAACACGGATTCAGGGAGTTAAAATCTTACCTTTAGCCTCAAGAATGGTGAAAAATGCTTAAGAACTCGTCTGGGGTCGTCTCCTAGCTCTCAAAGTTAAAAAGCACAGAATAAAGATGTTTTGGGATTTAGTTACGACCTTAAGTCGCGTCAGATCCGCCACAACGGTCGTTACTCTGCTACAGCAGCCCCGCCCTGGCGGTAGAAATCCCGACCCAACGGCTTGCACGAAACCACTAAGCTATTTTAATAATTCCAAAACCCCCATTTCACAACACACCTTTAACCAATGACGCTCAAAAAATACCGTTCACAATAGGATCGATTCCGGGAGTTCTACTCACCCGAATTCAATTCCGTAAAGTCGTACAGATTCCTTAACCACTTATCTAACAAATCATGTAATCAAAATCATAAATAAGTCACCCGATTGCTACCATATTTCCCTAGACTTCACTGGCTCCGATTTTGTCCAAATCTGAACTAGGCTAGGAAATCTCAAGTTACTATGAAAAAGTTTTCTGGCCCCAATTCTTTCTTCATTGGCTTTTCCCTAATGACATAATCAAGTCGTTACAATAGATACCAATTTACCCATTACTCGTCCCCGAGTGATCAACTAGGGAGGACTCCCTAAAGTAAGGGTAGAGTAGTATCTGAAACGTCGAATTACTGGGGATACTTGTCTCGCATGTCCTTAGCTTCCGGACATCGTGATCAAGAATTTCAATCGGTTCTTCCTCACACCGAAGGTCTTGTTTAACAACACTGAGTCTCACCTTATGATATAATCCTCGTCCCAGCCAACCAATTGAATACCTATACATCCTCCCATACAATGCCTAAATGTAGTCATTTTAATACTCGAGTGATAAATATTGTTTTATGTACACTTAACAAACAACAAAATGATTCCCAACAACCACCAAAGTTAATCGTACACACGTCTCAACATGTTATCAAGGACCTTGACGCAATCATTCAGACGAATCCTTTAGCACTTAAGTATGATAAAATTTCAAATTAATACTCGTTATAATTAGAAGTGAACTTGAATCAACCAACACACACTCATAATACTCAAACAATCATAGTTCTTATAAACATCTCCTTCTCACAACATAAATTTCCATAAGCTTAAGTTACCAAAATTTGGTCTTTAGACATCAGATACTTATTGAGGGATATGTCTAAGCATACAAACCCTCTAGAAACACTATCGAAATGCTAGATTTAGTAATTATAGTTTACCTCTTAAGAATAGTAGAATTGGATTCACTGATCCCCACATTCAACCACACATAATCAATACATGATCTCGCCGACTAGATGAATCTAAGATTGTCGGACAACCATAATTACACATGGTAGCTCTTCTATGAACTATCATAAGCAAGGTGGTACATGTAGAACCACTAAAATACTTTTAACAACTCCAAGACAACACCAATTATGTCATTCGAAATAACTAAATCTTCCCAATCTTCCCACTCAACCAAGAGAATATCTCAGGATTTGGTACCTCTGATCCACCACTAGAGATCCACCCACAAAAGTGAAAAACACACGAGAGCATAGCTAGTGAATCATACTCACAA